CTCAATCATACAAAAAATCCATTTTCTCAGTCTCTTTCGTACAAAAACAATATTTGAATTCAAAAGATCATGACGAAAATAATAATTAAACAAATTTTGTTTACCATTTTTACCATTATTACCAACAACCAGAAGAAAATCCCATCTCAATTTTTTGGTCCCCAGTCATCAGTCCATCGAGTCATCGTGTGTCTTCTTTTTTTTCAGCGCTCGGAAAAATCGATCCATTGAAAAAAGTCAACGACTCGATAATAAAACTCCAAGCAGCCGACACTCGGGAAACCCGCAAATTCTCGAATTCGGAAAAAGGCCAAATTCGAGAAAAAAAAAAAAGAAAATCGAAAAGGGAAAAACGAGGGAAATTGCAGAAACGAGCAAAAAGGCATCGCTTCTGAATTTTTCACGATGAAGATCGATTCATCATCACGATCGAGAAATCGCTCGATCGTAACGGAACATCGCGTTTTTCTTCCAAATCCCCAGACTTCGAATTTTTTCCTTTTTCCCTAAACACTTGGAAAGAAGACAAGAACAAGAAATTCAAATCATGGTATTCCACATCGATTCAAATATCATTTGAATACGATCAAGTACAATACCAAAAAAAAAAAAATACAATTTTTCAACAAATGTAAATGTGTTTGTGAAATACCAGAAATATTCCCAATCGAATATACTTCCAAATAAGCGAAATTTCGCCAATTGGGAAATATTTCCAAAAGAATACACCTGGCAATAGTTTTAACAGATGTAATAATGAAATGAAGAGAACAGCATCATAATTAAGTATAAATATACAAAATACGGGGTATTGTAAAAAAAAAAAGAGGTACATATATACGGAATTCCTTTCATATATATATATAAATAAGATATGTAAATCGGGTTAATTATCTGATGTATATGCGTTACGAACAAAGAAGCGAGTTATGTACACGTGGTTAGTAAAAAAAAAAATCTTTTCATCACGCGCTCGTTCTCAAGTCACAGAAAGTAGAGAATTTTCATCTTTAGAAAAAGTAGAAATTTTCAATAAAATTACCGCCACCATAAAGTAGTGTTCAAAAAAATCATGTGTCTTTAGAAACGAGCGCGCTATTCTTTTTTTTTAATGTGAGTTAAGTGTAAATACACTACCGAAGGAAGCATGACATGCAAGACGAATTACGCAGAAAACGCACAACGGTAATGGGTTTTTCAAAAATATTGTGTCCACAAAGATATTTTTCAAATTTTCGACGCGCGGACAGTTTTTTTTTTTTTGTCGAAAAAAGAAAGAGCAAAAATCGTTAAGAAAAGAGAGAAAGATCAACTGACCACACGTCGTATTTTTTTTTTACAAACTTTTTTAAGTATTTATTTATTCAAAATAATTAAATCGTTTGTAGACACAAAATTTCCAAAGAGTATCCTCCTTTTTTTCATCAACTACGTGTGAAAAAAAATACTACCAACAAAAAAAAAACACAAAACATGACTACGAGGGGTGCCTTCTGTTTTTTTTTCTGTTACTCATTTTTTTTTCTTTTTTTTTTTGAGGATTTAAAAAAAAGGGGGGTTTTGTTTTTTTTTAATCAGGCCCGCGGCAAAAAAGGATTCAAAAGTGATTGTCAAAAAGGATAGAGAACCGAATTAAAATGGCTTTGTCAAGGCGTCACTTGTCCTCGAGGCAATATTTAAAACCCTCTTTTGCCGCCCCTGTTAATTCACAATAACACATGTAATAAACTGAGCTTTTCTACGCACTGCAGATAACGTGGCGCAACATCGGCGCTATTTCAACGATTTTTCTTTTCAAACTTTTATTAATTTCTGTATTTATCAATTACTGAATTATTGTCTAGTAATTACTGTATTATAGTAATTACCGTAAAAACTAATTGTAAAACGAAAACTAAAAATCAGAAAATGAAAAGTAAATTCCAACGTAAAAATTCATACTTGGTTCTGACTGAAACAAAATTATTGGGCACCGTAAAAATGTGAAGCAAAAAATGCGTAAATAAAGAAAATAGTTTTCTGTTAAGTCCTCTATTTCCGAAACCGAGATAATTATTCAAGGTAACAAGTCTCTGACGGTGAAATAAACGACCTCCGCCATCAATGCAAACTCCTTCTCGTGCTATTTCTTTTTCTTTGCTATTTTACTGTAAAATATCGTTAAATCGATTTTTTTCAGAATTTTCGGAAAAGTGATAATTTTATTAAAAACGACGCGTCGAAACGTTCTCGCGATTTTTAAAATTCTTTTTTAGGTGACAATTTTCTATTACACGGAAAAAAGAGAATAAAGTAACTTTTTGCTATTTACAAACTAAAATCTAAACCGTCACGAATTTCTGCGCATTTCTATCAATTTACTATTTTCTTCGAAAATAGTCAAATTTGCCAGAAATGCACAAAATTTAACTCCTTTTTTCAAAAATAGTAAAAATTGCCAAAAATGCGCAAAATTTAACCACTTTTTTTAAAAAATAGTAAAAATTGCCAAGTGGCCAAAATTTTACTTTTTTTCCAAAAATAGTAAAAAATTCACACAAATACGCAGAAAATTTAATTACTTTCTTCAAAAATTGTAAAAATTTGCCAGGAATGCACAAAAATTCCCCAACGGTTTTTGATATTAATTATAAGAGTAGCAAAAAAATTACTAAAATCCATTTTTTTTTCGAGTAGATTATTTTCTAAAGATTCAAACAAAAATAATTTCTCAAAGTGTTCCGCACTGAAGTTCCACGCTGGCATTGACGGAGAGGTCGCTCCTCTCTCTCCGTTATTACCTGCTCTCCCACGTTGGATCACCTCGCGCCTGGCGACCATTCTAAAGAAAAAAAAAATCATTTTCGCACGCAAAGTCACGTATTTTTCCAACCGAAGAGGAACGAAAAAAAAATTTGAAGGGAGGGAGGAGGGCGAAAAAAAGCGAATTATATGCCAATATAAAGTCTGTCTCTCTCCTGCAGCATCTGCCAACAACAGCTGCAGTCGCTTTGCAGATGCAGCTTTCAAAGGGGGAAAGAGAGCAGATGTCTGAGTTCTGCCAGACGGCAACGTTGCCAAGTCGTCGTTCCGCAACCGTGGCACAGCTCGATATTTCACGTTTTTTTTTTTTTTTTTAACACGAAGGGGAAAATTTTCTGTTTTAAAACCGTTATTTCCTTTGAATTCTAATTTTTTTTTTCTTTCTAAACGTAAAAAAACGAGGAATTGAAACTTGAAGACGCGAAATTTAATCCATCGAGTCATTTTTAGTAAATAGTTATGTATCAGTATTTTAATATTTCGAGACTGAATTTCAATAAAAATGGAAAAAATTCTTTTGAAGTAAAATATTCGACTCGCAAAGCCTCTGCCTTTGTCTTCTCTTTTTCCGCCTCGCTTTTTTTTGTCCTGTCGCTTCATGCCTAGGAAACACCATTCCCGAGCGGATGTTTCTCCTCTTCGGCCGCCATTTTGTAAAAGCTTCGCCGAGTACAAGGTCAACGAGTTTCCGTGGGAACAAAGATCCATAAATCCTCAACTCTGCGCGGTTTTCATATAACCGAAACGTTCGCTACAATATTCAAATACCGAAAAAATATCTCGAAACCGTCATATTTTAATTTTTTTTCTATAATTGCAGTGCTAATTTTCTTAAACTTTTCATTTTGTAATTTTTTTCATTCCTTTCAGGACATAGAGGTGGTAAAAGAGAAAAAAAAGCAAGTCACGATTGGCATTTGCGAAAGCACTCTCAGATTACTTTTTGGTTTTCAATTTCCCGTGGCAACGCAATCTAGATAAAAAGTCTGTGTGTGTATATATAATTTTGCAGTGTATATCATTTCAATAAGTGTAACCCGACCTTTTTATAATCCGTTCACACACATTCTCGCACACAAAAAAAAAAATTTAGTCTAAAAATCCTGTCGCTAAAAATAATTTGAATTTCTTTGAAAATATGGAGAGGAAATTCTAAAGAGAGGTCTCAAAAAAACGTTATCGCCAAGTGCATGAAAATTAAAAATCCGTATAAAATCTATTTGAAATTAAATCGAATCATGTCAAATTTTGACATTTCGCGCATCTCGTTTCTCTCCCTCTGCATTAGCCAAAGAGAGAAATCTGCTTTCTTTTTGGATCAAAAGCAGACCATTAATGAATAACTTCACTTTTCGAGAGTCAAAAAGTAAAGGAGGGAAATTTTTCCATCCCCCATTTTATATCAAGGAGACAAACAGCTTTTCTTCAGATGGTCTCATCAATTTTTTTTTTATTTTCAGAGGAGAGAGAGGTCGAGACGTCGCGTTGCGAGGGGTGATAATGACAAAGAGTAAAAAAAGAAATTTACTAGAAAAAAAAAGAAAAAAAGAGAAGAAAGACCTCGCATCGCGACTATTTCAAAAAATTTGAAAAAAACAAATTATACAGGAAACCATATTATGAATATATTCTAATGAAAAAGGCTACGTGCCCTAGCCAGAAAGAAGCTCTTTCAGAGACAGTGCTACTCTTGAACGTACCGAAATTCAAGTTGAACCACGTTATCCAGCAGCGAAAAAACCCTGTCCCGCCTGCGCAATGGGCACTTTATTCCGGCGCATCTCTCTATTGATACGCTTCGGAAAAATTCCAAATAGTGCTTTTTCTCAAACAAGTTTAATCACGAATTCACTTTAACTAATTAATTTACGTTTTAAAATTAAGTCGAAAAATATCAAGAAAAGAACGATTAAATTTAAAAACTTATTTAAAAAAAGCACATTTGCGTTTATAATCAAATTTTAGTGAACAAAGAACTAGACAAAATTTTTGTTCCAGTCATAATTGTGTCACTTGTGAAAAAGCGATCGTATCGAAGACTTTTATTCAATAAAGTCATCAAAACTCTCGACTTTTTTTCATTTTGCGAATTTTTTTTTTTATCGATTTAAAGTAATTGATTTTGTAATTGTGCCAATTAAGAGTGCCTATTGTTACGGGGGTCAGCGGTAATTGGAAACTGGCGATGATGAACGTACCTTGGGAGTCCCTTTGCGCTTGGACGGCTTCGTGGGCTGCAAGAAAGACTTCATCTTGCGCTCCAGGTCCACCAGCCACCGAGCCTACGACTCCACCCGCATTACTCCTATCACCCGTTACGTGCCACGCCGCTAAGCCTGCTCAAAATTGAACAGAAAATCAACCACGCTTCCATGAGTAAAGTTTCACATTTTAAAAAAAAATCAAATTAAATTAAACTCAAAAAATTTGGGAAAAATTGCGACTTTGTATTTATTTCAATTAACAAAAAATAAATGATTTACTGAATTAAAGAATTAAAATATAAAAAAAAGAAATTACGGAATTAAAAAATTAATTTTACTGAATTAAAAGAAAAATTTCTGAATTAAAAAATAAAATCAGCAAAGCTTGAACGTAGAATTAAAATTGCCATTACGAGTACATGAGGGACACATGGACCAGTAAAAAGCTCTACGTCAATCTTAACCATTTTATTCTTCAATCGCCAGATTTTTTTCCAAATATAAAATTTTTTTACTAAATTGCAAATTCTTAGAATTTTAAAAGTCGAATTAATTCGCTAATTATTCAAATTTTAAAATTCGAATTAAAAAGAAACCAATTCTTCAGATTTTAAAATTCGAATTTTGAGTAATTCGCAAATTCTTTGAATTTTAAAACTCGAATTTCCGATAATTCACCACTTCTTCGAATTTCAAAATTCGGATTTTTAATTAGCGAAAACTCTTTAAATTTCGAAATTCGAATTAAAATGAAGGAGCAAATTATTCGAATTTCAAAATTTAAATTAAAAAGAAGCTAATTCTTCAAGATTTCAAAATTCGAATTTTGAGCAATTCACAAATTCTTTGAATTCAGGGTGTCTACTATTTTCGTTTAACAAAATTCCCGGTTATTTCCCGGTTTTTCCCGGCTATATCCTAATTTTTTCCCGGTTTTTTTTTCTTATCAAATGTAAATTTAAATTTGATTTTAAACATAAATAAATCATTAAATTTTCTGAAAATAATGTTTTTTTCAATAATTTTAATTAAAAACTTGGAAAATACTTGAATTAAACAAAGAATTTTTTCAAGTTTTTAAAAATAATCTTGTCTCTTTATAATTATAATTGAAAATTGGATTTTTCAATTTTATTAAAATTACATTGATAATAATTGAACTTCTGCAAAGAATTTTACTATTTATAAAAATAATTGAATCCTTCCAAAAAATGCTATTATTTATGAAAATAATTTAATTTTTGTGAAGAATTTTATTAAAATTTTTGAAAATAATAAGCAGCAATAATTAATTATTTACTTAATATGTAATAAACATTTAATTTGCTTAAGAAATAAATAAATATCATTTATTTGAACATTCAGAAATTTAAAATGATAAAAATTTAAGAGAAGTTCAATAATTATAATTATTAAATAATAATAGAATAGTATAATTTTTAGAAGCAAAAAATTGATTTAAAACTGTAAGAGGGACTTAAAATTTTAAAAATAAAATTATAATTATGGTCACTAACTTCCCTTGATTATTTTCGAAAAATTTAAATAAAATTCTTTAAAAAAATTCAATTATTTTTCAAAAAAAGTAAAAAAATTTCAATGATTTGTTTAGAAAAATTCAATTATCTTGAAACAATAGAATTGAAAAATTACAACAATTTTATTTTTTAGATTTAAAAAAAATTTTGCGAAAGTTCAATTTCATTAAACAATTTTAAGTATGTATATTTTTTTAAATTAACTAATAAAAATTTTAATTATTAATCTTCGCAGTAAGAAACATGAATACATTAGAATTTTACTCTTTATAATATTCAATTATTAATAAATTATTAAATTAAAATACTTTGAAAATTCTATTTGTTAAAAAGTTTCTAATGAATTTCTTTAACAAATTTAATTACATATTTTCAGTCGAATTTCACATTATTTCTATTAACTCCATAATTTTTTTAAAATTTATTTACATAATATATTTGAATTGGTAACTGATTTTTTATCATCAAATTAATTATTTTTAAGTAACTTAAATTTAGAGAACAGTATAAATATCTATAAAAATTGAAATAAAAATTGATTTTTTAAAAACAAATTAAAATAATAAAACTTTTTTAATTTTTGTGAAAAAATTCCCGGTTCGGTATAAAATTCCCGGCTAATTCCCGGTTTTTCCCGGTCAAATAAAATTCCCGGTTATTTCCCGGTTTTCCCGGAATTCCCGGTTAGTAGACACCCTGGAATTTCAAAATTCGAATTTCCGATAATTCACCAATTCTTCGAATTTTTAATTAGCAAAAATTCTTTAAATTTTAAAATTAGAATTACAATGAAGGCGCAAAAAATATTTAAATTTCAAAATTAAAATGGAGTCCCAAATTATTCAAATTTCAAAATTAGAATTTTCATTAATTCCCTAATTTTACGAATCTCAAAATTCAAATTTTCCATAAATCGCAATTTTTCCAAATTTAAAAATTCCAAATTAAAAATGAGGCAAATTCTCCAAATTTAAATAATTAAAGTTTAAAAAAAGGACGAATTTTCCGAATTTAAAAATTAGAATTAAAAAGAAAACGTAAATTTCTGAAAATTCAAAAAGGACGCAGCGTTAGGTAATGATAAAACAGCATTGAAAAATCCGACAAAATTAGATAGAAATACATACGTTTATTACGTAAGACCTCTTCCAGTCTCAAGTAATAGACACTAACAAACACAATAATACATCTTTACAAATCACAAAGTCTTAAACAATTTAAATTACAATCCAACGACGTTTATACAAAAGGAAAAAAAATTCCACAATACTGTTCAACTCAGTCTTTCATAAAAACAGTCATAAAAACCACCAAGAACAATAATTTTCAGTTCAAGTTAGTATAATAAAACTCTCCAGTTAGCGCGATTAGAATCCTAAAAATAATCACACAATTCCTAGCGAACTCAAAAAATGTAAAACTCATCTCAAAAATAAATTCAAAACAAAATCTAAAACATCTGTTTATTAATTTTTTTTTACCTTGTTTTTTGAAATATTTTTATCTTTTTTGAATATTTTTTTTTAAGTATTTTTTTTTAGTTTTTTAATATTTTTAAAATTTTTTTATAAATATTTATGGTTTTTTTTAAATATTTTTTTTGAATATATAATTTTAATACAATAGAAACGATTTTCATTTTTTAAATAGAAACATATTGTAATTATTTGGAGGAAGTCGGAATATTATTAAGATTGTCTATGCCGAACGGGGGCGTTTGGTTGAATCCAGCGCCTCCTGACGACATTCAATTTTTTCAAATAGAACTGTAGGGTTGAACGGTTAATTCCATACATCTCGGAGGCTTGAGTTGTACTCACGCCCTGATGCAATATCGCCTCCAGAGACATTTTAACCGAATCTAAACTATATTTTCGACCCTGTTTACTTGCCAATGATTTAAGTAACGCGCCTACGTCAACATCTTGAGTCATTCGTCTCGTATTCGGCCTTTTTTTACAATCGAGGAAATGGGCGGCCCAAAGGGCACCGCCACCACCCGACCGACACCGTGCTATCGCCCCCCCACCTGCAACGAGGAAACCCAAACTAGTCTCCGGCAATATTAATTCGCGTCCCAAACAACAAAAAAACATAACTCACGATTCCTAATTTTTCTTTTAAAACCTGATAAAATATCTATTATTTCTTTTTTTTATTTTTTCTTTCAATTTTTTGTTGTCTCTATTATTTCTTTTTTTGATAATTTTGTTTGGATTTTTTTAAGTTTTATTTTTACTTCTATGTATTTTTTGTTGTTGTTAATTTTTGCTGTTTTTTCTTTTTTTCAATGCAATTTTTTTTCTTTTTGATGCAATTACTCCTGTTTTGAGATATGAAAAGACTGAATATAAAATGAAATATCAAAAAACTTAATACTGCGTCCTGCTAATTTTCGAAAAGAAAAAAATCGAGTAAACTGGATTGAAAGGTAAACTCACCAGGATGTTGGTTAGGGTCGTGAGAACTTGGACCAGCCCTATTACTATCTTCCATTTCGTTAAGGTCATTCATGTCATCATCTAACGTTAAGTCTTCCACACTCTCCTCCGGGTCGTCCAAATACTCGGACTTTGGTTGTATCATGTCTTCGGTAGGTTCAGGTTTTTCGACAGGTAGCTGCAAAAAACCAGGGCGAAAATTAAATTCCCTCTCCTTCAAAATCAACCAATTTCTCTTAAATATTTTCAAAAATTAAACACAAACTCAAAAATTGTAACTTTCAAAATTTTAATTCAATTAAATTAAAAATAAAATTTAACGTTTCCAATAAAGAAAATTTACAAATTGGCAAAAAAAATGTAATTTTTAAATTTAAATTTAACAAAAAATATGATTTTTAAAATAAAATACAAAAATTTAATTAATTTTTTTTAAATAGCAAAAAGAGCGCAAAATTAATTTTTTGAGCAAAGAATTTCCTCTTTGAAGAAATATTAAATATTCAACTTTGAAATATTGAATTTTGAACATTAAAATATTTAATTTTGAATATTGAATTTTTAACATTGAAATATTTAATTTTAAAGATTGAAACATTTAATTTTGAATTTCTGACATTGAAACATTTTATTTTGAATATTGAATTTTGAACATTAAAATATTGAATTTTAAAGATTGAAACATTTCATTTTGAAAATTGAATTTTGAACATTGAAATATTGAATTTTGAAGATTGAAACTTTTAATTTTAAATATTGAATTTTGAAGATTGAAACTTTTAATTTTGAACATTGAAATATTAATTTTTTTCCAAATATCAAAAATGTCTCGTATCGTTTCCGATCTGTAAGTTTAAAAAAAACCTTCTCACAGAAGGATAAATACGAAGTATGATCTACCAACGAAGCGAAAGAAGTTGACCAAAAAAAAGAGCCAACCACTTTTAGACGCTGGCAAACATATTTCATATGCAACAAATAATATTCAATTTTTCTTTTCTTTTCTTATTTTTGTTTTTAAAAATTCGATTTTAAGTCAAATTCGATGCTAACCTGAAGCATCTCGTCGGCGGGTTTCGTCAACTGTTGCATGAGCGCCGACCTGCCGAGGGAATCGGCAGCATCGGCATGAGATTTCTCATCAGCAACAGGAGCCACTCCCAACGCTGGAACAGGTTGTTGGGTCATATCACTAGAGTTAGATTCATGATTTTCTATAGAATTGTCTTCGCCGACGCTTCTTCTTCTAAGTCTTTTTCTCTTTCGGGAGACAGGACTTTGTGAACCTTCCCTGCAATTTCAAAAAGAGACACAAATTTTAGAAAAATCTTCTATAAATTTCATTACTATTTTTATGAATTTTACAAAATTTACTCAGTAATTTTATGAATTTTATGAAATTTCCAAAATTACTCAGTATAAATTTTACGAAATTTCGGAAATTTTATGAGAAGTTAAGTTGGGAAAAAAAGACGATGCGCTTACCTGGAGGAGATACCTTTGGGGATGGAGGGGCTGGCGGAGTCTTCGGGTAAATCACCAACAGAGCTCTGTGCCAAACTCTGCCTAGGAACTTTGCTGTTCTTTTCTATTGTGAGACCGGAAGACGCATGTGGAATGTCTAACGACGGAGCTGTCGATTGTGAGCTGACTTTACTTTGCCTGGTGTCCGGTTTCGTGCAACCATTGCCACCAGTTCTACTTTCCGAGAGGCCTTTGATTTGTAAAGACTCTGCGGCCTTTAGGAGGGCTGCCAATTGGTCTTGGGAGATATTCACTTCTCCCCTGTACATGTAGTCCATCATGGCTTTTAATTCCTTAAACTTAACATCTTTGAGTATAAACACTGGGTGCTTATCGTAATGTTCGCTGAGGAGGCCCTGCAATCACAAACAACAACAAAATTACAAAATCATTTCTTTTATTCTCAATTTTACTTATTACAAGAAGCAATTAGAGAAAAAATGTATTTTATTCTTGTGGCCAAAAGGGCCACAAGAATAAAATACATTTTTTCTCAGTATTTAAATTTTTACACCTTATTTTAATTATACAATTTTTATTTTATTATTATTGTTATTGTTACAAGGATAAAAAATGAGTCATGGTATATACAGCAATAATTTCTAATTCTGAAAAGAAGTTAATAGTCTCGTCATAAAATGAAAATCATCCCCCTTGACCTCCCGATGAGAGAGTTGAATAAGAAAGGCAAGAACAACGAGTTCTGTTGTATTATAACTTGAATGAATAGAGAGAGAGAAAATTAAGTATTGCTATAGCGGTGGTTTCCCCCCACCCCCCCATCGCATAGAATCCCAGGGCAAGTGCCCTGGAAACCGGCCATCTTGCTTTCCCTGTATTGATCAGGAGAGAAACCAGGAGGGGATTCAGGCTATGCCCCCCCCCTCTCTGGCTTCTTTTACGCAAGCGACGGCACAAACCATAAAACCCAATACCTGCCCCCGCCCAAGCGGCGAACAAGATGAACCGCCATCTTGTTTCTACTTTAGTCTCTCCAGTCTCTCTAGTTATTGATTTTAACTCGGAAAAAGCCGAAAAGGACAAAGAAACGTAAAGAAAAAGGTTTTTTTCCTTTACGTTTCTTCGGACTTTCAAGTTTTTTTCCGAATTTTTCCAAAGAGACTGGAAAAATAAAGACAAGAAGGCAATTTACCCATGACCTCATTTTTTGGAAATGACTGAAAGAAATAAGGATTAGTAGTGAAAATATTGAGAAAAAAGAAACTCACCTCAAAGTATGGACTGCATGCGGAGAGGACCACTTTGTGGGCCTTTAGGTACTTCCCCTCCGCTGCTAATGTGCAATCCACTAATGTACCGGATTCTAGTAACGTGTCAAAGTTTTGTATTAGTGTCGTTTGGTGGTTGTTCCACCTTAGGCAGAACTGTTGATCGTCCTCCATTCTGCTGAATTCTCGTTATCTTGTCAGGCTGTCCAGGTTGAATTCGGTGGAGAAAAGAAGTTGGCGGAAACAAAAAACCGAAAATTCGTTTAAATATGCTACCTTCGTTTTAAATTTACTTGAAACATTTGAATTTTCGACAAAACGAACTGTGTGTTTATAATTAAAACTTGGATTTTGTTTAGAAAAAAAAGAAACGCGTTTTTTGTCGACTACGCGTTATAAGTCTGAAACCCGGACCCGCAAGCTCTGCAACCAAACGTGGAAGCTTCCAAAATGGCTGTGATGCAAGCGCGTCGGTCGGGACGGCGAGCCTTTCCCTTTGTGCGTATTCCCCTAACGGTAATGTTGAGAGAAAAGTGGGGATGATGCGGGAGGACGCGCATGTATAGCGCATGCGATTCCAGCGAGGCTGCGCAACAAGAAAACGCGATGGTTCGGCTTCACCCTAGCTCTCCCAGCGGCGAACCAAACGTTGACCTCGCCCGGGTATCCGCTCAATCGGATTTTTCAACTTTTTTATGGCGAGAGCAAGAGAGAGAAAGAGAGAGAGAGACTCTTTCTGGACGTTTAAAAATCAATATCCACGAAAATCTACTTTTATTCACCGAAAATGCTGAATATTCAAGTTTTAAATAAATAAACAATATATTTTAAATAATAATCGACTTTTAAATAATTTTCCGAAAAAAAACCAAATTCTTAAAAAACAAATTAAAATATTTAAAAAAAAACAATATTTATACTTTAAATTGTAGGTAAAATTATATTTTATTAAATTTAAATTTTAAATAAAAATTAAATTTAAATAAAAGAAAATTTTTAAATTATAATGAAAAAATAACTAAAAATTTAAATATTAAAAAAAAATTGAAAAATTTAAATATTAAAAGAATTGAAAAATTTATAATTATTTAGAAAATTAAAATTCAAAGAGAGTTAAATAATCAATGGAATATTTTCCCTAAAATGTGCTTCGATTGTTGAACTTTATTCAAATTGCGAACATAGAAAATCAATAAAACTGCGCATGCAAAAATGAATGCAGCGGCTATTTTATCGACAAATTATGAACGAGGAACACAATTTTCACAAAGTTCGAAAGCAACAATTTTAACAAAAATACCCAAATTTTATTGATTAAAAACAGAAAAATTTTCGAAAAAGGAAAAATTAGTTGAAAATCGCGAATAAAGTTTCTTAAAACAATTTAGATTCAAAAAATGTTCTCATATTATTTTGATAAAAATATTCATTCTCATAATTAGAAAAAAGTGAAAAATAAAATAAAGTTATGAAAAAAAGTAAATAAAAATTAAATTGGGAAAATATGGTCATAAATTAAATAAAAATTTAATTATAAAAATAGAAATTAAACAAATGTGAATAATAATTATGAAAGAATAAATAAATCGAATTTGTAAATAAAATAGAAATTAAATTATAAAAAAATTAATTAAAGAAAAATTAAATTATTAAAAGAAAAATAAATAAAAGTTGAATAATAATTACATAGAATTTTAAATAAAAATTAATATTATTATTATTTAAATGTAAAGAGAAATTAAATTATTAAAAGAAATTTAAATAAAAGTCAAATAATATCAACATAGAATTTTAAATAAATAATTATTATTTAAATAAATAAAAATTAAATTATGAAAATAAAATAAAATATAAGTTAAATGAAATTAAAATATTCTAATAATTTAATGATAATTTTGTAATTTGTAATATATAATTTACTATAAACTGGAAAAACATAGAAACCCGAATAAATTAAAAATCAAATTAAACAATTTCAGCAGTAAATATTCATGATCATACTGAAAAAAAGCATGAAAAACGATTACTCTAAATAAAGTGATGAAATAAAGGGAAATGTGTTCTGGGAAGACTACCGTTATTGATCCAAAGAAGTACCATGGAAACGATTCCACTTCCATTTCAAAATGGAAGCCTTCCACGCAAACTGGAAAAATCAATGTGGTACTTCGCCACATGCGCGAAACACCGGCATCGATTTACCAGATAAGAAACATCGCGCATGTGTATGTGTGTGTGAAACATAAATTGTCAATATACACAAAATTCGCAATATTGCATAATCTATTTATAATCAGACACCGCTTGCATTATTTTTTTCCACGAGCAATAACGAAAAATAAAAACAAAAAGAAAATATTTCCCAAGTTTTGAAATAATACTGTAAATTTAACCGTAGAGAAACATCAAGACGGAGTGAAATTTTCAATATGGCCGTCAAACAAGTTACTCGCGAACAAAATGGCCTGATGACGAGTCACTTGAAAAATGCCCCAAAAAAAAATAATTGTAAAAATTGAAAAAAGTACCAAAAATATCACGTGGGATTTTATAAAAACAAAAATTTATTATAAAATACACATAGGGTTTGAGGGGGGAGGGGGAGAAAAAGTTATTTAAGTTCGACGCGATACGCCCATCGAACTTTTTTTTCTATATAATTATCACGAAAACAAAATATAAACACGCGACTTCAAATTCCAAATATAAGTGACGTAAAAGTTCACTTACCCCACTTTGGATTAAAAAGAAGTCTAATATCACAGCTTAAATAGGTGAAATCGCGAAGCTCAACGAGCGTCGTTGCACGACGACCGCTTCCCTTTTCAACAATGGCGTAAAACAGTCTTCCACTTCAACGCAGGCTTCCCGACAGGATAAAAAAGAAAACCCACTGACATGCGCACTAGGGAAAAGGAGAGGCGAATCGACCACAATTATATACGAGAAAATAAAAAAAGGGAATGGCCCAACCCGGATTTTAATCCCGTGGCTATGCCTGCATAAGTGGAAAAAGTGTAATTAAAAACCCATTTTTTCAGAGTAGAAATTAAAAAAACGTCTATTCACTATATAATCAATTTTCTTTCACTAACATTACCGTAAAATTAAAAAATAAAATTTCTAAAAAAAACACTACACGAAACGAATTAATTTAAAGAAATATTAAATTTATTTTGAAAAGTAAAAAAAAGTATGTAGGTAATTTCGAAATAACCGGCCGACGACCGCGAGGCAAGGAAAAGCTAATCAATAATGGCCGACTTGTGTAGCTTTGTGGGACAAAATGGCGATTAACCATTAAAAAGCTTCGAGAACACGGAATATATTATTTTTCTTCGAAGCTTTTTAAAACTACGATGAACAATCTCAAAAAAGCTGAAAAAGAACCCGAAAATAGAAATTATCAAAAGCACGCGATTACTAAAAGGGGGGAAAAGGAATATCGACACAGGAGAAACGACGCCATGACCTCGATTCCGTACCAAGTCAAATTAAAACACGATTTTCACGCGAAAAAACACAAGAAATTTAATGAAAAACACAAAACAATGATAAAGAAAGTGACTTACTTTGACGCAGTCTTCTTATTATCACAGTAGGACGAATCCTTGGGGGAAGAACTGCGCATCCGGACTCTCAGCGCTCACTATATCCTCTCTCGTTGAGTTCTTTTTACACAATGGCGCGATGGGGGAACGCTTTAACGATCGTTGCGGGTCCCACATCCCTTCGTGCAGGGACAACGAAAACGACGAGTTCAGGGGGGAGACGCGGCGCACAAACCAAATTTCGTTCAACTGCGCAGAAAAGATGTGCCTAATGGGAATTGAGGGGAAGTAACAACGACAGCAGGGAAACCGCAGGAACGAATCTTTTTTGCTGAGCACCCGGGAATTGATTATTATACTTGAAGAATGTTGCAGATTTTCATAATATAAGCGAGAAAAATTTCAACAATGAATACAAAAGTGAAATGTGGTAAAATATGTTTATTATATTTATATTATATTTAGAAATTCATCTTTATAAAGCAAAAAAATGGAATAATCCAAATATTGTCGTCTGCTACTAAAAGTATTGATTAAATATAATTTTTATTTTACCAAAAAGAAAACTGCTGAAACGTAATAAAATTTTCCTGTGTAAAGTTTGCAGACATTTTTAAATGCTAGAATCTGGAAAACTGTTTAAATCGTTTAAATGGTATTATTTAAATGTATTCTTTTTGTTCTAGTTACACCCATATTGAAGGATTTTAAAAAGAATTTTGGCAGATTTTCTTGAATCTAGTGAAAATTCAGAAAATTTTCCAGAATTTGATCTTATAATTTGAGTAAAAATGAAAATTTTCATGTAGACGAAAAGTTATGAAATTTTAACGATTCTAACCTCTCCTGACATTATATTCCTTAATTTCGCGTCGTTTCGCAAGTTATTGATTACCACCGGTTTTATTTACCGGCTTTTCTATTCAGATTATAACGATGTTGGAAGCTTTTAAAATTACTTTCAGATAATTAAATAAGTAATTCTCTTTCTATTTCCTTATTTGCTAAAAAGATGAATTTAAATACAATTCCTCTATTAATTAGATTTTTACATTCTTGAAATTCTTACTTCGGTATTCGTTAAAATTATTAAATATTGAGATATTTTCAGCCAACAATGCAAAATCAATAAAATTATATTTACTCAAAGGAAATAAATTGAATTTGTACGTCTCCACTTATTCGTTCAATTAATTTTCTCATTTTCCAATAATTTTAATAAAATTCTTATCATTCGTACTAAACTAAAATTGTAATTTTTGTTAACATAAATTTTCAATTCATAATTTTCTTCTAATCTTATTTGTTTGTTTTTTCTATTATTTAAACAAAGGTTTATAATAAATAAATTACCCTTTGTTAATTATATGAAATTAAAAAAAAAAACACTTTTCTTTTGAAAGTGGATAATTTTTTTGGAAATTAAGAAACAGTTAAAATTCCAATATTTAATAAAACATCAATATATTTCAGAGAAATATGGACAAAGTTGGAGGCTGCATAATATTCTTTAGTCATGGAGCAGACGAATCAATTTCATTCTTCAAAGCAGAAAGCAGCCATCAGATAAAAAATAACGGGTGAGTTTTTAACATTTTTAGAATCAAAATATTTTTTTAATTTCTCCTCAAACTTATTTTCATAAAGATTAAATTCTATTTTTTATTAAAAAAATGTGAATACTTTATAACAATATGGTGAAAGTGTATTTGTTTGTTTTTAAAAAGGAGATAATTTAACAATAACAATCAGTTGAGGTTTATTTGTTTTTAAGCTTTTTTATTATTGTAAACTCGAAAATTTTTAGTTACAAGTATAACTTTTTTTAGTAAATTTATAATTTTATATCATCTGTCCTAAATATAAAGAGAAACAACGGTAGGTACTGTAGAATTCTATTGAACGTTCTATTTGTTATTGTACTTCAATATTTTTTTTTCTTAATTGTCTCTATTGTCTAAATTTTATATTTGTTCTTTTTTCTGTATTTTTTTGAATTGTACATTTTGTTACGTACATTTTTTAATATTGTGATTTTTTTTGTCTTCTTTTTTTAAATGTATATTTTTCACTCTCAGTATGTTTTCGAGAGTAAACAAAACTGACATTTGTCGATTAAAATGCACTTATTTTTCAATTTGATGGAAACTTGTCTAACTTTCGAATATTAAAACTATTCATTCATTATTTCAATACTTATTCGTTTGTTTATTTTTAGAAAATTTATTTTAAGTTGACAAAATTGACTTTTGAAACAATACACAATATTTTTGTCTAAAAGTATAAAAATTATTTTTTATGTAAGAGAAAAAGAAAATTTTAAATTTAGTTACTATTGTTTACATTTCTATTTTTTGCAGGTCAAAGGAAAATACATTCTTCAATGGTCAGTGTAAGCTATGGAAAAACGTGAGTCTTTTATTATGATTATTCAAATCAACAAAAACATAAGGTACGATTTTCTATTATATTTTATTAACTTCGTTTTTTTAACGATTTTTTGACAATTGTTTAGCAATTGTTTAACAACATATTTTAATTTGACAATAATCTGACAAAATTTTACGTCAAAAGTTGAGTAAACTGACAATTATTGAGTTTGTTTGAAAGAAATGAGTTTTAGAATGTTAAAAGTAATATTTCACGTGTAAAGTTAATGGGGACGTCTATATTTAGTGAAATAACGAAAATTATTTACAATATTATCGTGATATTTAAATAGAAAAAAAATGTTAAATATAGTGTCAACAATTTGACAAACATATGTCTTATGTAGTGATAAAGTTGAATTTAGTTTATTTATAGAATATTTGCTATTAAACGTAACGTTAGAAAAAATATACAATTGAGGAAAAGTTAAACTTTTGATTCTGTCATTTTTTGATTATTTAAAATTTTGTATTTCTTACTAAAAGTATTATAATAATAGATAATAACAGACCTTTAAAAGGTTATGTAACTCAAACTTTTTAATCTAATTTTTTTCAATTTATTTTGAATTTATTTTGAAATTGTAAAATTAAAGAAATGAGAAAAACGATTTATGTATTTTTTTATACTTTTGTAAATAATATTATTATGATAATGAACTAATAAATGGTTATTTCACTCAAACTTTTTAATATACAATATTTTTAAAATTATTTTGAATTTATTTTGAAATTCTAAAATTAAAGAAAAGAAAAGAAAAAGAATTTACGTATTTTTTCTTTTTTTTTTGTAAATTATTTTCTTATGATAATGAACTATTGAAAGGTTTTATCAAACTTTTTAATACAATATTTTTGAAATTATTTTGAATTTATTTCGAAAATCTAAAATTAAAGAAAAGAGGAATAAGAGAAAAATAATTTACGTAGTTTTTCGTTCTTTTGTAAATAATATTCTTATAATAATGAAAACGTTAAAAGGTTATGTGACTCAAACTTTTTAATGAAATATGAAAAAATTTCCAAATTGAAAAAAAGAGTAATAAGGAAAAATGATTTACGTACTTTTTCATTCTTTGTATAAATGAAAATGTACTATAGTTATAAAAATAAACTTATTTAATAAGTATAGTATTTTGACTATATTTATTTGGAAATTATCAAAAATATTTTTTATACAAAAGCAAATTTCTCACGTAAATTTATACAATTTGTCCGTTAAATACTTTTTGAGAACAAAAAAGATTTAAAATAAGAATAAAATTAACATAAAAACCATATTTACATATTTAATAAACAAATTAATTGTGAAATTTAATATATTTCGAAATTTTTGACTTAATCGTGAAAATAGTGTTCAAATTCGAAGAATCCGTTCACAAATTCAATTTGGACGAAATGTAAGTATATTTTATTTCTAAGTTATAAATTAAACATGAAAATGTCTTTATAAAAAAGTTTTTTAATGAAAATGTCTTCTGAACTGGACATTTTTATTAAACTTCACTTCTCAGCTGATTATAAACAATTTCTTTCATTTAAAATACAAAATTGAACCAAATTTTGTTCCGATTTGTCGGATTTTTCCCAAAGAAAAAAAAAAATTGGATGAAACTAAATATTTCTTTTTGTTGCAGATAAATTTTTCGAAACGAGAAAATTCAGTGATTTACTATACTCGAAAAATTGAGGCAGCGAACTGACAACAAGTTGAAGAAAAAAACATTTTGCATCAATGTTTCTAAAAGAATTTGGAAGCAAGCAGTGAATAAATACATCGTGGAAAAAAATGCTCTTTTAATCCTAAAATGAAAAAAAAGACAAGAAATGGTTTTGACAAAAAAATCATTTTTTTATTTATGGATTACTGTTAAAAGCAGTACACATTTCATGAGAGTCGAACGCTATTCTCATGAAATAGCGAATTTCACGAATTTTCTCATCTCAGAAGTAGAAATCATTGTTATAATTGTTATTTATTCTTTTCGTGTTTACACAAACAATTTTTTTCAAAACGAAATATTTTAGACACAGATTTTCCACAGAAAATGTGCAAAAATTTCCGCCAAAGAATTCTATTTTTAGCTCCTAATTTTAGGACTAGATTTTATTTTTCTTTACCAGGACTCAACATTTTCCCGAATGCTTACGTTTTTAACTACAAGGACTATTTTCCCTTGTAGTAAAAAGAACTTGCTTACTAAACATATTTATATTTCATTATTATTTATTTTCAATGTCATTTTCCATTTCCACTATTTTTGCATGAACCACTAAATCAAGTGATATTTTTCATCTCTCAATTGATTTTCTATTTACAGGTAGATTTCAAAGACAGCATTTATCGATGCTGTCCGTGAAAAGTATGGAGCAACTGACACCGCCACCACAAAATCAAGAGGACGGATTTTTTTGTCGCTTTTGCGGGAAAAATTTCGGTCGAATAAGTGGAAGGACACATCATGAAAATTTATGCACACGTAATCCGTCGAGCAGTCAGCCGAAGGAATTATTTGCGTTTAGCTGCGACGATTGTGGTTGTAGTTTTAAACATAAATGGGAATTAAATTGTCATGAGGCCTATGATTGTGGCGTGACACACAGATGTAGAATTTGTAATAGAACTTATTCGCGATTATATAATTTACGGGCACATTTTCGTAAAGGTCTTTGCAAAGCTAATCGTTAGTTTTGTTGAGGCAAAAAAGAAAAAGGAAATTGTGAAAAAAGTTTCAAATTAGAAATTCTGTTGATAGTTATTTCTATTTTCCTTGTTGTAGGATGTTAGACATAAGGATTAATTTCTGTATTTTAAAAATTGTGGTTTATTTCAAAATACATTCGTATTCATAATTTTTCGGTTATTTATTATTCTCCAGAATGATGCGAGCTTCGTTCAGTAATGATATGCATGTATATTTTTGCATTTATAAAGTATTTTTCATTTTTAACACATTTTTGCATGAAATGGTAATTTTTGAGAAAAATATTTCTTTTGGAAATATTTATTTAAATTGCGCTATATTTGATTGAAGTTGGGAAATTATTGTTAAACAGGAACTTTTATTATTATTATTATTATTATTATTATTATTATTATTATTATTATTATTATTATTGTTGTTATTGTTATTAAAATAATTATTATTATTATTATTATTGCTATGATAATAATAGTAATTATTATTATTGCTATTATAATAATAATTATTGTTATAATAATAATAATTATAATAATAATAATCATAATCATAATTATATGTAAAATAGAATTTATCACTCGGTCGAAAATTATACAGGTGAGAAAAAAATCATTCTTTCCGAGTCAAATAATTTGACTCGGAAAAAATGATTTTTTTCCGAGCCAAATTATTTGACTCGGAAAGAATGATTTTTTTTCTCCTAATTATTTCAATCAAATAAAGTTTATTTCGCTGTATATTCGATATTATTATAATTTTACCAAATCTTTAACTTTTTTAAAATATGCTTTTTATTTTACAGGTGAAATGTTTCAGGAGCAAAAATTTTTATCAGTTAGAAATTTCGATTTTCTAACGGCAACCGAAGAGTACGATGACAACATGGAAATGTACACGTGGAAGTGTCAATATTGTGGAATGAGTTTGGGAACAATAAGTGGAAAGACTAGGCATGAAAATAACTGCTCACATAATCCGTCAATTAGAAGAGAGAAGAAGAGTTGGAAGTTTAGTTGCAACAAATGTGGACATAATTTCAGTCGCAAACATTATTTGTCTAGTCATATTGCTTACGATTGTGGCAGAACACACAAATGTGAAATATGTCATAAAATTTATTCACAAATTGCCCATTTGAAACGACATTTTCGAAAATTTCACACTGACAGTAGCTAATAATGAGAAGAAGAAGAATAATAATAATAATAATGAAAAGAAGAATATTGTTAACGATGAAATATTATTTTAACGATGAGGGAAGATTTTTTTTTGTATATTAGAGTTGCCAATGGTCAGAGAAGTCAGAAGATTCAGGGGAAAAGCAGGGAAAGAAGGATTGGTCAGGGAAATCAGGGAACAGTCAGGGATTTTTATTAAAATTACTGGAAAAAATTAAATTTTTAGAATTCATTAGAAAATTCTGAATTTTGGTGTCTTTTTTGTTTGCCTCATAAATTATGAAATTACCAAGAATTTTAATTTAAAAAACTGTGATTTTTTTCTATTTTTGACACTAATTTTTTTTTTTCAAGTAACTTAATTCTTGAAGAACAATCATAAAATTATTACTCAAAAATTATTTAATAAACCATTTTAGTTCAATATTTTACAAATTCATTGAATTTTAAGAGTTGCGTTTACAATTTTCATAAACAGATGAACATGAAAAAAATTTTAATTTGAAATTTTGTAAAATTTCAATTTTTAATTAATTTACTTAAAAATTTTAAAGAACTTAGATTTTTGAAAAATTTTAATAATTCAAATTCTTCTGAAATTAGTTAATTTTTTTAATATTTATTCAATTAATTATCAAAAATATTGGATTTATAGAAGAATTTTAATTAAAAACACTAAAAGAGGATTGAAATTTGGAGAAGTTACAAATGATTGCAGAAATTTAATTATTTTTGTAAATAATGAAATTTTTAGCAGAATTTCAATTATGTTTAAAAATTTTTTTTAAATTTTCGTAAAAATTTCAATTATCTTTAAATATAATGGAATTTTTCTCTAAAATTCAATTATTTTCAAAAAATTAAACAAAATTTTAAAAAAAAATTTTTAATTACCATATAAATAATTAAATTTTTCACAGAAATTCAATTATGTTCAAAAAATTTAAATAATTCTCGTCAAAATTTCAATTATTATTATAAATAATAAATTTCTTCTCAAAAATTCAATTATTAAAAATTTTTTTTTTTAATTCTTAAAAATTCAATTATTTTTGTAAATAATGAAATTTTTTAATTTAATGGAATTTTTCTCCAAAATTCAATTATTTTCAAAAAATTTAATAAAATTCTTTAGAAAATTTTTAATTACCTTTATAAATAATAAAATTCTTCACAAAAATTCAATTTTGTTCAAAAATTTAAAATAATTCTCGTTAAAATTTCAATTATTATCATGAATAATAAATTTCTTCTCAAAAATTCAATTATTTTCAAAATTTTTTTTTTAAATTTTTAAAAATTCAATTATTTTTGTAAATAATGAAATTCTTTGCAGAATTTCAATTATATTTAAATTTGTTTTTTAATTTTCGTGAAAATTTTAATTATTTTTAAATATAATGAAATTTTAATGCAAAATTCAATTATTTTCAAAAATTTTAAATATTTCTTGTCAAAATGTCAATTATCATTATAAATAATAAAATTCTTCTCAAAAATTGAATTATTTTAAAAAAAATTTTTTAAATTCTTAAAATTCAATTATTTTTGTAAATAATAGAATTCTTCGCAGAATTTCAATTATGTTCAAAAAAATTTTTTTTAATTCTCGTGAAAATTTCAATTATCTTTATAAATAGTAAAATTCTTCTTAAAAATTCAATTATTTTCAAAAATTTAATTAAAATTCTACACAATCCTTTAATTATTTTCAAAAATAATAGAAATTTCACAGGAATTCAATTATTTACAAATTTTTTAAAAATCCTCGAAAGTGTAATTATTATAAAATTATTCTTAAAAATTATATTAAAAATATTAATATCCATCGAAATAATTTAATTATTTAAAGATTTGTTGATAAAATTTTTTATTCAATTTTTGATTCAATTATTTTCATAAATAATAACATTTTTTAAAGGGATTCAATTATTTTCAAAAATAATAACAATTTGAAAGGGATTCAATTATTTTCATAAATATTAATATTCTCTTTAGGAATTGAATTATTTACAAAAATTTTAATATAATTTTTCGCAGAAATTCAATTTTGTTCAAAAATTACAAAAAAATTCTTTTCAAAATTTAAATTATTTTTATAAATAATAAAATTCTTCTCCAAAATTCAATTATTTTCATAAATTTAAATAAAATTCTACACAAACCTTTAATTATTTTCATAATGAATAAAAATTTCACAAAAATTCAATTATTTACAAATTTTTTAAAAATCCTCGAAAAATGTATTTATTATAAAATTATTCTTAAAAATTGTATTAAAAATATTAAAATCCATCGAAATAATTTAATTATTTAAAGATTTGTTGATAACATTTTTTATGAGAATTCAATTTTAAAAAACATTCGATTATTTAATAAAATTATTTATTTTTCTATTTTTAAATAATTGAATTCTTGTAGAATTTTGTAATAAAAATTGATTTAAAAATGATTTGAATGATTTAAAAATTAAAGTAATTTAAAATTGAAATTTTTCATAATTTTAACTTACAATTTTGATGAATTACTTTTTTGGGAAAATTTTAATTCTAATTCTGTTGAAATTTTTATTTTCTAAATTACATTTAATTGAAGAATTTCCAAATAATCGAAATTTTGTTATATTTCGTAAAATTGAATTGCAAACAAATGTATTTGAAAGTTCTCAAATAACTTTTTCAAGAATTATTAAAAAGTAATTGATTTAAAAAAGAATTTTAGTTAAAAATAATTTCGTCTGTATATCACGGAAAAACAAAATTATAAATTTTTGTGGCAACCCTGTATATATTTATATTCATTCAATAATTATATCTAAGAAGCTTTTTTAAGATACTATAATCTAAGGCTATTAATATTTTTAGAAATTATCTAGATATTAAATTTTGATCTAGGTACTTCGCTTTTAATTAATAGTCGCTATAAATATGTACGTAAGGGATTTTTGTCCCGCTCTATTCTTTTTTTAATTATCAATTAAATATATATTCATGTTTTCTAATTTCTTTGTTCTTAATTCCCATGACAAGCGAAAAATTAAGTTCTCAAAATATTTTCAATCTAAAATTTACGATTTTAAATGTGAATCTATTTCAGTACCGACTTGTAAGTATAAGTGTATTATACCTAATTTTATTGCATAATTATAAATCTCTGTTTGTGTGAAAAATTAAATTTTTCTACAATTTTGATAATTGATTTTTATTTAAATATTGAATATTATTTACTATATCTAAAAAAAGGATTTTCTCTAAATTTTTCCATCATCTTTTGTTACAGATTTCTCATCGTTAACGACAAATTTGCCACTTCTCAGAGTTAAAGGATTTGAAGAATTAAATCAATTGCGAGCAGTTCAGAACGATAAGGAAACGATTTCCTGTAGTTTTTGTAAACAGAATTTTGGACGTATAAACAGAAAGAAAGCCCACGAAAATTACTGCGCTCGAAATCCAAAAGTCAGTGAAGGAATGTTACGTTCACGATTTTGTTGCAAACAATGTGGAAGTAACTTTAGTCACAAAAGATCTCTAATTACCCATGTCACTTATAATTGTGGCATAACGCACAATTGCAAACAATGCAACAAAGTTTACACGTCAATTTATAATTTTAAACGGCATTTTGCGAATGGTCTTTGTAAAAAAAGACAAAAGTTATAAGTCGCAAATTTCCAACAAGTGAAAACAATTATTTATGGGAAATATTTCGTTTCGTTTCGTTTTTTTAAAAAATCATTATTTTCAAAACTTTTAATAAAATTCCTCGAAAGAATACAATTATTTTTAAAAATATTGATTAAATTCAATTACATATTTTCAACAATTTTTGATAAAATTTGTTTTTAAAAAATCATTATTTTCAAAACTTTTAATAAAATTCCTTCGAAAAATTCAATTATTTTCAATACAATTTTAAAAAAATTTCTCGAAACAATTCAATTATTTTTATGAATTCTAAAATCCTTCGCAAG